ACACAGGATACAGACACTTGGAGAGAGAAGCCAAAGTTATTGAAGCATATTCAAGAAATCTGCGAAGACACCACATCAGAAAGAGAAGAAGTAATAAAGAAAACTATCGAAAATCGAAAGGAAAAAGAAAAGGTTCGAAATCGACATGTTACTAGAACAAAGTAATTGAGGCGGAAACCTGGGTAATAATCTTCCAATATGTTTACTGCACCCTCCTTGCCTTGCTGTCCCTGAAAGAGAGTAGATGTTGAGAGTTTTTTGCTTGCTGTTTGGTCAAGATGTGACATACCTCGCACAGCTCTTGTGAAGATATCATTTCAGTTATGCCAAGAAAGCAGAACTACCACAAATATCAGGCAAGAACTTAGCAATAAAGTCAAGATGTGACATACCTCGCACAGCTCTTATGAAGATACCATTTCAGTAATGCCAAGAGGGTCGAACTACCTCAAACCTCAAGAAGTCAGAGATTAAGAGTACTCCTTCATGTATCCTGAAGAGTATGGCATAGATGAGAAGTACAAAAGCAACTCTCACAGATGCACAACAGTGAGGAAGAGCTTGACAATGCTAAAGATGAGGGATATTGCGCACATCTAACCCGATAAAATGTCTTTTAATAAGAGTACCTAGCTTTGAAAATTGTTGTGATGGAAACAGCCATATAAGTGCAGAACACATATTATTAAGCTGACAAAAGCATATAGTACATGTAGTGTTATCTAAACAGTACAAAATCCATGTAAAATCCACAATTGCTAAGATACTTTAAAAATTGTTGGGAAAACAGTACAAAATCCATGTAAAATCCACAATTGCTAAGATACTTTAAAAATTGTTGGGATGAAAAGTCATGCAAATGCAGAGGATGTATAATTATATGAGCAGAAGCATGTTTCTATACTTTTTGTTTGTTTCTGAACATGTAGATATATCAAAATAGTATGAAATCATGTAAACTCTACAATTACTGAGATACTTTGAAAATTGTTGGGATGGAAACAGTCATGCATTTACTTTTTGTTTATTTTTGAACATGTAGTGTTATCTAAATAGTGTAAAATCATGTAAACTCTACAGTTACTCAGATACTTTGAAAATTGTTGGGATGGAAACAGTCATGCATATACTTTTTGTTTATTTTTGAACATGTAGTGTTATCTAAATAGTGTAAAATCATGTAAACTCTACAGTTACTCAGATACTTTGAAAATTGTTGGGATGGAAACTGTCATGTATATACTTTTTGTTGATTTTTGAACATGTAGTTTCACATAAATAGGATACAAAACTCTACAATTACTGAGATATTTAGTGTGACCTCCCTCCTTCCAACATTTGATTTAGGGGGATGGTTCCCCCTCAAAGCCATTATTTTTCTGTAGACTCGTCTCAGACCCAACCCCTCCCACCTCCTCAACCCTAAGGAGTCCAAATTGTATGAAAGTGTTCATAAATGGGCCATTAGATTATTTAAACTCTCTGGATAATACTTCCCAGCGGCACCTACACGAGGGTGATATGCCACTCATCCCATGAGTGGCATACTACCCTCTGCCTATGTTTCATTGCAGGTGTCATTCAAAGGAAACTACCCCTCAGATGAAGAGGAACTCTCAGAGACAATGAAAGGTAAACACAAAAGTAAATAGATTATGATGACCAATGTTAACACCACCAACTTCATAATTAGTCTTAATAACTCTTACTCATAATAACTCTTCTTCTTTATCAAACTTCCTTGTGCAATGTTTGTGCCATGATGAAGCACAGTGAGGTACCTGTTTCTTCCAGTGAATTACCAAAAACATTTAAATTGTTTGTTAATTTTATTTGAGGGTACATCCCAAAATATTTCCAACAAGCCCCTTAGTTTGTTATTTTTATCATCAGTTGTTAGTATCTACACATGACCAACCCTCATTTTTGCCTTTATTCCAGTGAGCACATTACAACATTCAACTAATCTCTCATTTTTTCACCTTTTTTCACATGGAAACAAAAGATGATGACCATGAAAAGAAAGATGAAGGAGCCAGGATGGAGAAAAAAAAGAGAAAGGACCAAAGATCTCACAGGAATCGAAAGGGAAAGAGAAAAAGGGAAGATGCCAAACACTAGAAATAAGTTGTGTACCATCACTCGTGATCAGTACTACCAGTAAACTTGATCATACCGAGACAAAGGCAGATCCAAAATTACTACTAAATTCATTTTATATGTACCTCACTTAACCATAAGTTCACAAGTGTAAGCCATTAAATGATATTCTATTATAATTTAAGGGGTTTTTTTTGTTTGATATACTGGCTATGTGTAAAGGTACACAACTTTATTCTCCACCTTTTCATTTCAAGTAGTATATAGAAATAGATAACATGTACAGTGGAAACTTGATTTAATAGAGTGCCAAGGGGCTGGAGACATTGATTGGCTATATTTAGGGTTTGTTATATCGAGGTTCTGTGGCATTTATATTACTGTAACTTTAGCTGGGCTGAAACAGAAGTATTGTTTGTCATATCAAGAACTTCGTTGTATAGAGGTTAGTTAAATCAAGGTTCCACTGTACCATTAACTTACTATTTCCTACTTAACCCTTTAATCCCTAAGAGTGACTAGAATCTAATTTCTTCTGACAATATCATCCTTCAATCACACATAAGGTCATGAGAGTCTAGGAAATGATCACCAACTGGAGAAGTTCTTAATTATTAAACAAACTCTCCTTGTCAGCACCTGTGTAAATGTGTAAGTACAGTATGGAGAGTGTGCATACTGATGTTAGAGTGTAGAGGGTTAATGTTGAATGAACACAACACAGCCTACAGTACAACAATGTCTACATTCATTCAGAAAGTGCACTGTTAACCCTTTACACCCTAACATCAGGAGGGGATATTCTCAATACCAGTCTTTATACATTTCCCAAGTGTTAACAACAAAAATTAGTTTAACAATCAAGAGTGTCTTAAGCTGGTGAACATTTCCTTTGTTTTTGTTAACTGAATGTGTAATTCAGGGGTGATGTTGTAAGGAGAAGTTTGATGCTAGTCACTCATAGGGGTCAAACGATTAATCATAGCCCTTAAGTTTTTTAAGAAAGTTATTCCCTATAAAGTTGTGTTCATTCAGTTCAGTTAAGATCCATTACACAATGCCTCTGTTATATTTAGGCAGTAAGTATGTTGACTGAGTCCAGAATCTTAACCCTTTGACTCCCAAGATCTGATTGTTAATTCTCCTTTCTAGCTGCTGCATATTTCCTTGTGTATTAGTTACAAGAATTTGGTGTTTTGATCAAGATGACAACTTCTACCTGATAAGTTTGAGTATTCTCATCACCTGTTTGCTAAATGATGTATAAGTGTTATTAATAGGGAGAAGTTACATGTCAATCACTTCTGGGAGTTAAAAAGTTATCAATAAGGCTGTAAGGATTTTCTGCTCAGACCTTGACTAAAGGATCATCACTATCTCTTACAAAGAAAAAAAAATTGAAATACTTAAGAGGTTGTCTCTCTTATTTCCACCCGGTCAATTTCATGTCAAAAATAATTTTCCCTGATATATAGGGGTCAGAATATGTTAAAGTTTGCCTTTTCAAATATATGGAGAGGGAAATTCTAACTTTCTTAGCAAACTAGAAAGGTTGTTAAGGGATCTGATATAAATGTCGTGGCTTAACTATGCAAATCAAATATTTTACAATGTTACAAAATATGCATATTATTCAATTTCCGAGAAGTTGTGATAGTCCCTACCAACTGGTGAAATAATTATGGCCCCTAATGCAGCCAGAAAATTATTTCAAATCAAACCAAATCTAACTTAGTTCTTTCCTAAGTATAGTCTTTCTGTTGACAGAGTTTAAGGTGAAATTGGCAGGGTGGAAATAAGAGAGATGGCCTCTTAAGCCGTAAAGATCTAATTCTGGATGCCTCAGAATTCCTTGTTAGTTGTCAGTGTAGATGGGCTAGATGTCACCAAGGCTACATTTTAATAGTGAGACAACTCAACATTTTGCAACTCGCTAAGGCCAAAGGAACATCCAGTGACAGACAAAAATCCTCATGTTTACAAGCAATTAAGTACTTTTCCCAAGCTGCAAGCCTAAATATTCAGCTGAGTGTTTTGTCATTAGGAATGAGAGTTTGAAAAACACAGTTTAGTACCCATATTACTTTGCTCAGAAGTATTACCTCCAGCTCGAGGTTTTCGAGATACAAGTTTGCTTTAAAAGGTTGCTACTTTTGGTTAGTTCGGTAAGAAGGAAAGGAATTGCGTTGCACAGTGGTTGAATGGTTTATAAAATCTTGCTCTAAACCAGAAGTTGTTTTATTTGTTTTTAAAAAAGTATACATATATCACTGAACGTTCATCTAAAAGTGACACAAGTTTATCTAAAAGTGACACAAGTATTCCCCTGCGTAGTTAACCATAAAAATTTTACATTTTACAATAAACTAAGGATTACCAAAAGTTTGTTCTTGTCTGTATTAAGTCCCATTCCAGCGAAGTTTAAGTTTAAGTTTACCCTTCTATACCCGAAATGACTACACCTGACCTGGGGTTTTCGTGCTTTGGGAAAATTTCTGTTTCCAATACATTTGCTCCCACTTCCTTTTACACCTTCCCTTTGAATGCTATCTCTAAAACTTAACGAAAACTTACGAAATACTCACCTAATGACCAAGGTTCTTGCAACAACACTACCTGCCATCGTCCTCCTCAATCAGTGTTTGACTCTTTCCCAGTCTTTCTCGTTAGTACTGTAACCGAGCTCGATTACTAATCGAGCTCGATTAGTTATCGAGCTCGATTACTAATCGAGCTCGATTAGTAATCGTACTCGATTAGCAATCGAGCTCGACTTGTAGTTATCGAGCTCGATTATCAAACGTCGTTTGCTTATCGAGCAGGAATGGTAATCGAGTACGACAAATCGATATCGAGCTCGGTTGCCCAGAAACAAATATTGATCCATGCAATGTAAGGCTTGACGTTTCTTAGGGCTGAAAAAATTTCCTTGTCAAAGACATTCTTTTCTATTAATTTTCTATTAATTTTTTATTAGCGATCCTTTATTACACACAATGGAGTTTCTTTAAGTAAACACTGCATTATCTGAGAACTTGAAGGAAATCTTCTTAAACAACGTTTAAAAGCTACTTTAGACCGAGTATAATGTTTCATTAGGATAATTTGTCAACGTTACCAGCTGGAAATTACGCGTGTTGCAAAATTTGAGATCCTGACGATCGTGATCGTGATCGTGATCGTGATGTCAATTGCGTCTCTGACAGCTACAAGCCTTTTTTAAATTTATTTTCATAGTACGGTTTCGTTCATAAAAACAGGTCGATTTTGGAAGCTTTAAACACTGCTGGGAGCTGTGTCATACGCGCGGGGTAGAAACAGAAGACCGTTACCTTGAAGCAGGCATGGAATTTGTTTCATTTTTCTTGTTCATAGCCTGGAATGCATTATTGACTAACTTCACTTCTGGAAAAGGTGAGTCGCAGGCGGCGAATCATTCTCTATCCTTTCATTCACTTATGAGTGCAACCTTGTTTAAATATCTCCTTTATTCTCTTTTGCTGATACAAAACAATTATGGTTACAACAACAAGAAAAGACTAGGTCAAAAACCGACATTCAGCATCCACCCATAACTGGAACTCATTTTTGAAAAATTACAGGGTATTTAAGACAAATGTTTTATCGTTTCTTACCCACATTATTGGATATTAGATGCAAAACGACCAAAAACTTCAGCAAATACAAATTTCTGCATTTGAAATTGTTACATTCCCGTCTCTCCTCTCTTAATAACATTTAAACATGATACTATGATGTGTGACTCACACAACATAGTATCATGTTTTAATGTTATTGAAATTTCCCTGTGTTATTTTAGGCGGGAATTTCATCTTTCTGCATCGTGCGGAAGCACATTTTTAACGCTCTTAACCATCTTAGTGAAATTATTTTTACAAGGGAACAGTGCTGACATATGGCAAAGAATAGTTAAATTTTTTGTTGTATATTCGTCCGTGAACATAGCTTATCTATCAAAAAGTTAAAATCGGGTATTGTGCAAGTCTCAGAGAAAGTTATGATCACAAACATGTTTAAGGATTAGCTTAAAGGTACTCACCTCAAAAACAGGTGGCATGACTACCATTCAATTGTTGGTACTTTCGATATTTTTGGTTTGAGAAATACACTGTTGGACTTTTTTTCATTCGAATTTATTATTTTCAGGGAAAAAGTCGAATTTTCTAATGAACACTGAATTTATCGATAGAAACATCTTGAACCCATATATGAATCTCCTGAGTGATGCCAGAAAACGATGGCCTGTCTTTATGGAAATTAGCATAAATTTCCTCTTTTCGTGGTAATCGGTCTAAATAACCAAAGCCGATCATGTAAACTCAAGTGAGAAATTCTGAATTTTCAAGGACCTGTATAACGAAGAAAGCGAAAAAAAGGTTTATGAAGAAAAAAATTTTTTTTTCATGACTTATCGATCATGAAATAGAAAGGGAACTTGAGAAAAATTTGCGGATAGGTTTTGTTAATGGCTTTGTTCTCTCTCCCGTAAAATAATATCGTTCCGGAGAAACGAAAAGACACGAAAATGCTTTCTTAACATCCTGTTCTCACAAGTGGTGGTCGCTGCTGCCAGTTTTTGTTTCGTTTCATTTTTGTTTTTAAACACTTTTGGGAGGGAGGAGGGGGTACTAGGGTTAATTTGCTTGTGAAAAAATTTGTCCTAAATACTAATGTTCTTAGAAGACACAAATCCCCAAATAAAGGTAGTATTAATTTTTTTTTCTCCATTTTCCCGTAGTCGTGGTTGGATTGAGATCACAGTTCTTTGTTCGCCAAGCGTGTTACTTTTTAAGCTTAAAACCTCGAATCGCGAGCTAATTCATGTCTTATAAAAAAAATTGTTCACTGATTATGACTGCTCTATTTCAGAGCGAGATCGCACAATGCTGTTCCCAGATTACTTCTTCTTTGCTGAAAAACGTTTGGTAAACCATAGAGTCGAGACCAAATACGTCAAAGACTTGGATCACTGTGAGCGTTTCTGCTACATGAACGACAACTGCGTCAGTGCTAACTTTAAAAAAGATCCCGAGAATGGAGGAATCGATTATATTTGTGAACTGAATAACGCCACTCACCTTGAACATGATACTGACCTGATTACTGATGCCGATTTTTATTATCGTGGCTCAAAGGTAAAATATAAAGTATAACTCAAATTCAGCAACTCGACGCTCTTCGATGAAATGTGAAAAACAATCCTTTTTATTAGAACAGTTTGAAAAAGTTTGTTCATTTATCCTTCAATCATTCAATACATCGATCTTTCTTTTTAATTTTCCTTTTTTTCTTTTTCCTTTTCAGAACGCCTGCGGTAAAAACCCACCATGTCAAAATAATGCAACTTGTCAGTCCGGTTTCACAATCAAGGGATATCGATGCTCGTGCCCTCCTGGATTCGAAGGAGAACATTGCGAAAAAGGTTAGTTACAGAAAATGCCCATAAGAACAGAGAGTATTTAAACCACCCCTATTTATATGTCAAGTTTGGCTGTCGAGTGCGTATCTTAAAGGAAGGCTTCCAAGGCTGATCTTTGATGACTGATATCCGGCTTCAGTTTGGAATGGTGTCTAGAGAGAGACTTCACTGTCGTGGAAGTTTTGGTTTAGTCTAAATTAACAATTAATCTGTCGCAATGATAAATATCTAAATGCTTTTTCACCTCATAAGACTTTAAAAAGCGAATGTATATCTCACTCGTGTAACCACTACCGTTGTAGAATTTTTCTTTTCTTTCCAATGTTTAGATATTGATGAATGCCAAAAAAATACCCACGATTGTCACCTGAACGCTACTTGTCAAAACACAAATGGATCCTTTATGTGCACCTGTTTACTTGGATTTAACGGAGATGGACGGAACTGCACAGGTAAAGGCCTTTAGATTGTAATTGACTCGTTATGACTTAGTGAAATTTTAGTTTGGGTGTGTTTGTTTGTTTGTTTTGATAAAGCAATTAACCTTGACCAACGGCAGAAAATGAAAATCCTTGATCCCACTTAAACGCAAGGGAACAAAATGCTGAACATCTCTGTTGACGAAGACAAGAATCGTGATTGAAAGCCTTTCATTTCTCAGATATTGACGAACGTTCAGTAAATCTTTCTAGTCGTGTGAATGCTAACTGTACCAAACTTGCTCAGGTAATTTTAATAAGTTTCTTTCAATCCCAGCTATTCAAAGCGGAGAGTAATCTAAAACGTCCTTTTAACTCAAATTATGGTACCAGAAGTAGTCAAACATTTATCCTAAAATGTAGTTCTACTCCATAATTCACCCCTCATTAGAAATGGTGGATTATTTCACTTTGTCCTACATCTTTTGAGATTAGGTTTGCAGTATTCATGTACAGGTGTTCATTATATTGATCAACCAAAACATTTTTCAACATAACATCCAACTCTGGTTTGTTACTCGGTGCACTTGATCCCCATCAGACATCGACGAGTGTTCAAACACAAACATCTGCAATAAGAACGCCTCCTGCAGTAATACCCAGGGCTCCTACAGTTGCGCCTGTAATCCTAAATACACTGGGGATGGTTTGACTTGTAAAGGTTAGTCTCTTGTAATTGATCCTTTAAAAAATTTGTAAAGATGGTACTGGCTGAACTCGCTGTAAATAATCTTGAGTGAAATGCTATTCTTGTTTGACCATATAACAAATCACGTTAGTTTTTAGTGCCTTTAAATTGCTTGGAAACGTCCTTCGACAAACAAATAGGGAAAAAGAAAGATACATTTGATTTTTTTTATAGACTTAATGTGCATGGTTTTTGTCCTCCAGGGGAGAAAACAATGATCCCCATCATTTATTCTTGATGACGCATAACTGTTTTTGTAAATAGAATTATTATGAGGCTGTGTCTCGAATAGATTAAAAGCAATCTACCAAAATAATCTGATTGGCTAAAATCGATGTTGACAGCGGTTAAGATTTTCCCATTTTAGCCTATTAAGGTGATTCCTAAGAACATAAATATTATCTGACGGTTTTTTTCAATCTTTTCTTTAATGTTCCCTATCAATGTCTGTTTCGGAAGATACAATAAAAAAGACAGGTCACCGTTCTTGTTTGAGAGAAATGACGGGCCAAATGTACCCGACTCATGCCTCTACTAGCAGTTTTTCACGCGCGTCATTTCACGGGACATTTTTCGGTAGCTGGAAGCAAAGATTTTCAAAGTAAAAAAAAACCTTGAAAGGCACAAAGTCTTGAACGTAGGGAACAATTTGATATATAATTTGTGAAAAATCAAGTAAGTTTAATCGACATCGACTTAAAACGTTCCTCGAGTCGTTGCTCTCAATGTCATAATTTTCATTATCAAGATGATTTTTAAATTTCTCCAATTTAACGGGGCTAACTTGTACACCAAAATTATGCTATGAAAAAAGAGGTCACCGTGCTTGGTAAAGAACTAAAGAGCATCGTACCTCTTTACAGGGTCCATTGATTGAAAAGCAATATCGTGCTCTCGGTTTCGCGCGCGCTTAAAAAGTTTTCTGTGTCGTAGTAGAATTGTAATGTAGTAAATAGTTTTCTTCAAACTAAGCAGATATGCCTGAACAACTTCGTTGGGAGCCGATTACTGCTTAAGCAACAGAGAACCTTTTTTTGGTGTTTACATTCTCTCATTTAAACACTCGGAGGGTTGGGAAATTTCTTGAAAGTTATGCAAACCCTCGACTGCGTGTCGGGTTTGCATAATCTTCTCAAATTCTCCCAACCTCCTCTCGTGTTTAGATGAGAGTATGTAAACACGGTAAAAAAGGTTCTCTTTTGCTTGAGCAGTAATCGGCTTTTAACGAAGTTGTCCAGGCATATCTGCTCAGATCGAAGAAAAACTATTTACTACATTACAATTCCACTACGACATAGAAAACTTTTTCACAGTCAAATAAATTTAGCCTTATGCAATTTTTGCGGGTCGTAAAGCGCGATAAGGTTCAAGATGAAAAAATGCGCAAAATTCACAAAATTCGCAGTTTTTGACTTTTTCCTTACCGAAAGAATAAATATTTCCACGAACATGGCCAAAAACGGCCTGTGGCATATCTTTCAGCTGTCGATTTTCGTCATCAGCTGCAAAAACATACCATTACCCAGGTCAATTACGTAACTTTCAATTTTTCTTCTCGTATTTAGTTTTGCTTCCGCTGCTAAGGAATTTTAAAAGCCATTGTCTGTAAGAAATAATAATTTTTTTGTGCTTTTAGCAGCCATAATCCGAGAAAATCTCGACAAGCGATCTTGGATTGAGAACGGTCAACGCTTTGCCATTCATTTATTAACCTTTTATGCAGTTTTTTAAGCACCAATAACAATAACAATATTGATATCGGCGCTATATAAGTATTATTATCATTATTATTATTATTATTATTATTAATCTGACACAGCTGATTGGCGATATCAAACACGTGTAAAAAGTTATCGTAATATTATAGACGTGCTGTTCAGCTTTTCTCAGGGCGGGAAATCCTTCTTAAACACCGCAGTTTATGTAATAATTTTCTTCCTTAAGCTTTCTTATAAAGCACACTATATAAAACATCGCATTAACCGCAATTTCACTTTTTAGCCGATCCGTGCTATAATTACAGAAACCTAAGCGATGCTGACAGAAAGAGCACCTACTACACACCCGACGGTGGAGAAAAATGTGACGACGAATCATCCATAATATCCGAGGAATGGTATCGTTTCGTGGGAGATGCAGGAACAAAAATGCCAACCCAGTGCGTGCCGGATTGGAGATGTGGTGCAGCCTTATCAGGCTGGCTAAAAGGTGGTCACCCCACATTGACAGAAGGTGAAATTTCCTCCAAGGTCTGTTTTACCAGAGGTGGAGATTGTTGCAAGGAATATAAAAACATATATGTGAAAGATTGCGGATCCTACTTTGTGTACGAACTGCAAAAGCCACCTAAATGTGATTTGCGCTACTGTGGCACAGACTAAATGTTATAAGCAAGTTATTCTGCACAGTGAAAGGATTCACAAATCGATTCATTGACACGCACATGTACATCAATGATAACAGAGAATTTCACATGATCCAGTTTTATGATTAGTGTTAAACAGAGAGTAGTTTCAACAGAAGATTACCATTGGACCGCGTAGTTTGATCCTCCAAGTAAGAGAACTCCTGAGATGTTCTGACTGAAGGTAATCAGTAATATGACTGACGATTCTATAACCTCGGTGGAAATCATCGTCAGAGTTGACTGAACAATTGTTTTTTATCCGAGTACTAGAACAGACTCCTCCCACCCCCTCCCTAGCAAATGTCGATATTTACAGGCATTAGTGAGCTTCCAAATAATCTTAATATCATCTCTATCTCTTCCAATAGAAGTGCTTCACTAAGTAAGTTTTAAGCACAACTTTGAGCATTGTATTTTGCTTATTACTAAACGTTTTGAACTCTTGATGTTTACTCAGGTCGTTAGAAACTAAAGCAGCTTAGGTGTGTTGTGGATAGAGACTGTAAATAATTTCTAGAATTGCATAATTGTTAGTCACTGTTACATTGATACTCAAACTTTCTGATGACATGGCATGGAAAACTAGAACATTCTATTAGGTTATGTAATTATATTGTATTTCTACCATAATAGTTGTGTTGAAAGCTTCGAATTCCGGAATGTTTTGAAGTACTGACTGTAAATATATGAAAATCATGTATGTGCACTGCGGTTAAGGAACGAATATAAGCGATTCTCGCAGTTATGAACACTACTGAACTAGTAGTTGAAATAAGACCTGAAAAAAATTCAGGCCCGTACGGGATTTGAACCCATGACCTTTGCGATACCGGTGCAGCGCTCTACCAACTGAGCCAACAAGCCAACTGGGAGCTGGTCATTATGTTGGATCTCTTACATTCGTTTCATGGGTTCAAATCCCGTTCGGGCCTGATTTTTTTTCAGGTCTTATTTCAACTACAAGTTCAGTAGTGTTCGTAGCTGCGAGGATCGCTTATATTCGTTTTGAAATGCGTTGTGAATGTATATAAGGACTCAGTAGAAAAAAAAAAAGTTTTTGTCGGAAAAGATCAACTATCTAGGAAGCTCTACCAAAAGATAGCTCCGTACTGTGATATGCTTCAAAGATTGTGTATTTTGAGGTGATTTGGAGGCAAGGGTGAGTCTTTGGTGTCAGTAGAGAGCTAAGTTATAGTTTATAGTGGGTAAGTTTTTAAATAACAATTATTGTATTGCCTGTAGGAGTAGCTCCTAGAAGAGAATTATTACAGGTTGTTTAATTATATAGCTTAAAATTGTGGGAGTATAGTATTTCGATTGAATCATACCTTAACAGATGAATCTTGTAGGAAAGTGTGTTGGGTGAAATGGCTGAAATCTAAATGATGTCTACGTTAGTAGCTCTTATACAAGCGATTCTAACGAAAAACTAAACAACACCAGAAAGAGGCCCGAAATGACGACCAGTTTAAACCTAATTTAATAACCTTTTCAGGCTTATTTGTGTGTATGTGACCAATAACAGAGAAGGTATGATCTATTACTCTGGTTGCTGTTGCTATAACTGACACTGAGCCTGAGACAAATAGCACGTCTAAGTAATCAGAGGTTTGCATGTCTTTGTAGCACTTTAGAAGATCTTAATTGACTTTCCCAGAGGCTAAACCTTCTTATCGCCTGCTATTCAAATTCTCTACATATAATAAGTTTAAGGTTACACGAGACAATGAATTATCACTTTCCAGATGTCAGTAAACAAAACCGATTCCACTTCATCTTTTTGTTGTTGTTAAAGCTACTGTCGCTAGTGTTGTTGAAGTGCAAAGTTCAACATATTCCTTCCGGTGAATAATCGCTAATCTTCGGAACGGTTTCCGATCCGTGTTATGAAGCAGAGTGACGACAAAAGAAATACCATTGACGATACACCACTAAATGGTCCAGTGTTCTGTGTCACACAACTCTCCGAGGGATGGTACCGTTTCGTGACAGCTGTAGGAACTAGAACTCTAACAACCTGCGTTGATAGCCATAAATGTGGTGAAGTCAACCTAGGCTGGTTAACCCTTTGACTCCCAGAGGCAATTAACCTGTTACTTCTCCCAACAAAATCCATTCATTATCCAGGTAATGAGAATACCCAAACTTATCAGGAAGAAGTTGTTTACCTGATCTAAAATCAAACACTCTAAGCTTATTTATAAGGAAATGTGAAGCACCTTAAAGGGAGAATCAACAATCAGATCTTGGAGGTTAAAGGGTTAACTTGTGCTACTCCCACAATGGAAGATGAGGAATTTGACAGGAAGGTCTACTTTAAACAAAAAACTGTAGGCTGTTGCTACTGATCAGTTCATATTTAAGTAGAAAACTCTGAATTATACTTTATATACAAACTTTTCCACCCACCAACTTGTAATCTGCACCACTGTGGTACAGACTGACGTTGAGGAAAATAAATCATGAACCACTATCTTGGTAGACGCCTATCACGAATTTAACAAATTTTATTTCTCATCATAATAATTACTTCCATTATTTTAACTCTAATTGTAATTGTAAATTATTGGCCCAGGCGAGATACCCGGTCTGGCTGAATGGAAACCATCCTGTAAGTCCCAAGGATTAGTTCGCTTTGGCACGATTAAAGTACTTTACCAGTGTTACTCAAAAGATTTCTGAAAAAAATTATGACATCAGCTATATATACAAAATTGTTTTGAACAAGCTGTGAACTGTGCTTGAGTGGTCCAGACTAAATTTGAAGCAAATAACGGCATGTAATGAGAGAATTCATATATAAATGCGTGCAGGTAGATATGTATCCTCCCCTCAGTCCTTTCCTTATGAACATGACGCGTGAGAATTTATCAGGTACTCAGATCTTCTTTGAAAGTCAAATCTTTTTCCAGGGTCAAATTAGCAGTTCGAGCGCACGGGGCAAGTTAAGGACGAATTAGACTCAGAACATAGCAGCCCATTGAACATGGCACGTTGCCTAATTTAAATAGCGCTTTGACACATACGACCCTCTTACAATATAAAAAGAAAAGTAACACAAATCATTAAATAATCTACCGGCGTTACTGTCATGTTGCCTTATCTATTATTATCTCGTATCTCGGGACGACTTCATCCCCCATAATCTTTCAGCTAAGGAAGATCTACGTGCATTTATAATCCAAAACAAGTAATGATAGCGGAGCTCGCAGAGCGTAGCCCCATAACTATACAAAACAGTAGTAACCCATCAAGCCAAAAAAATTTGGTTGTACGACCGTACGACCGTACGACCGTACAAGGTGCTACTTTTAGCAGACGCGGCCAACTGTACCACGGGCACTATCTTAGCCATTACGTAATGGAAGGGCGAGGGAGAAGGTAATGCGCAGGCGCGATTGCGTGCGTAACTTGGATACCCCATTAGTGTGCGCCGAGAGACACCGTCAGATGACGATAAATTGCGCATACTCGAACGTCGAGCTGCAGTGTAGCGTACTGCTGGCACACGGTTAGGCGAGGGCTTCACGTGAGCTAGCAGATGAAATTTGCCACCCACGTTTTGAGCGGGAAGTCAAACTGGTCAGGATGTAGTTGAACAGTAATTCTCAGAGACAGAGCGACCAAAGAAAGCAACAAGTAAACTGCGTAAAGCGAGTCCAGAAAATCGCGCAAGAAAGTTACAAAGGACGCCAAAATAGGCAGAATACGGCGAGAGGAACACGAAAGAGAACAACAAATGGCATAAGTAAAAAGGCGAGTTTCTAGCGAAGAGCAACGCGAGAAGGAAATACAAAGTCGCTTCTGAAAACAGACTGAAAAGAGGTCATCAACAAAGAGAAGCGAACTGCAAAGGATCCGCGAAAGAAGAGGAGGTAAGCCGTGTCTAGGTTTTCTCTTACGCTAAGACTCATTCATCGCATTCATCGCCTAAAAACTCTTACGCCGGTTCATCGCTCGAATAATATTGCAAAGTGTTCGTATTCTTCAAGTTATTTCTCGTCCTTTCGTTTGAAAGTTTAATACAGTCGTGGTGTTATGGGAAAAGAAGTTATCTTACGTAATTTGTTTTTGCCCAGAAAGTTTTCAAATGATGTCGAACGGCGAGCGCAAGTTTCTACTTTTTTTTCTTTTCAGTTAATTATCGCAGGATTTACTCTATTTATTTGAAAAATTTGCGCTTTGCCGAAGAAGTGCTGTTTTACCCTAGGAACGAAGTAATGGCCTTTCCCAAAATTAAAATAAAATGGGATTGAGTCAGCGATGTTTACATTAAGTCTAACGCGGTAATTTGATTTTGACGATATTGTCATGTGAGAACCCGTCAAACATCTAAGAATCAAATTACGGACCTCAAATGTGTGGTGCAAACAAATTCACGGATATAGTGGAGATGGTTCTATAGCAGGATGAGTGAATTCAATTGTTTGGTTGTCGTACTTTTCAGCACTATGTTTTCAAGCTTTCTACTCGATTCGTTCGAACTTCAGGAAATGGTTTGTGTCACAAAACATGGAGCCACTTTCTCTTCGCTCAACATCTCGAGGCGTTATGATGAACATGCTCGCGATACGATATTTTTTTCCTTATGCTGGAAACTGAAGAATTAATCTCTAAAATTGTTAGTCTTAACATTTTGCAAGAAGCGTCCGAGCTGTGATCGTGCAATTAAACGGGGTTCTGGCAATTTGACCTCACAAGCGCGCTGGTAAGCACATGGTTCACGTAAATAATTGTTGATTCAAGAGCAGTTTTGGAAAGTTTGTTTCTGTAGCCTTCCTGGATATTTTCTGTTAAATTCATTGAGATTTAGTCTCGGAATTTCATAAGCGATTATAAATGATAGATTCGTATCGGCACCATAATTTAGGGAAATTTTGTCAACTTATTAACAGTTTACAATTCGCGAACCATTTCTGTAACCTACTTGGATATTCTCTCTTGGAGTAATCGAGTCACACCCTCGGAATTTCA